GGTGAAAATAGAATAAACATATTTGACTACCTTACAGCTAGTTTTCAAAAAACAAAACGGCATGCAATAAACCAATTGAATATTGATGTTTTTTACACTAAAACAGCAGCAATAACATCCTTCAAGCGAATGTCAAATATGGCAAGTTGGAGTTAAAGACATGGTGGAAAAAACATGCAGGAAGTACAAACTTGTGGTAAGGTGTGGTTTTGAAAAAGTTTAAAAAACAAAAGAAACAAAGTCATAATTCAAGCTTCTTTTCACTCAATCAGAATGTTGTGAACCCTTTCCAAATAATAAATGTCAGCTTTTAACAATTATGTCCTGGCCAAAGTATGAGCAAATGTGGTTGATGACATGACAGATTTTGGATGATTGAAATTATTTTCTTAAGATGGTTTTAAAGCTTTTTTTCTTAATTTCATAGGCACTTGAACATTATATTTTAACAATCATTTCCACGCAATAATGAAAAACTAAGCAGTAAAGCCTTTTAGTCATAATTGGTTGTGCTGTCAGTGAAAAACAAGACTCTACCACCAAGCCATCACATTTGTTGTAACTATGGTAACATGAACTGGGAAATTTGTAATTTCCATTTGGGAACTTTTTACTGATATTTGTTGCAAATATGGGGCTGAAAAGCGGCCACTGAACAGGTCCTCAAGAATCCCTACATAGTTTTCTTTTTTCAGACCTATTTAGTTCCATATATTTCAGGACAACATGACAAGATACAGGATGTTCGAAAACATTTTTTTTTTACAAATTGATTTCAATATTAATACGAGTTCTGGATAGCATATTGAAAAGACTTGATAAGGCTACTCTGATAGTCCTTATTTTGAAGCTGACATTAAAGAACAACTTTTACATATTTACATGAAATCAACACACTTTGATATTTTTATTTACAAAAGTGATGGCAAGCTAATGAAATAACAAGAGAATCAATTACTCGGGCCTTTAAATCACATATGTATATCTCAATCTTAATAAGCTGTACAAACACTGCTGACACATTTCTGAGGACAAAATATTCAATACATCTAGCGAAGAGAATTAAAATTCAGGAAGGTAACTCTAAATCAAGGAAGATAACTCTGAATCAAGGGAGATAACTCAAAACCAAGGGACATAACACAGCTGCCAAACAGTGCAAAAGCAATGAAGGAAATCTGTGCCACAAAAGGAAAGAGAAAAATCAACTCGGAAATAAATACGACTGACTGCAAAACATACTTAAGCTGACATGGTAAAGAATAAACAATGACTACACAATAAGGCATACAAGAATGTTACATTTCTGCGCACATACAAATATTGTGTGCGTTTCACCATCTTCTTGTTTTGAACACATTTTTCTTGAAAGAATTATTTTCAACTCACAGCGTACAAACTGTAAATTCAATTGTGCCATATACATTGAAGGATCAAAGGACCAGGCAAATTGTCATCCTGATTATGATGGTTATCATGGAAACTCTTCAGAGGACAATATTTTGACATGAGCCTTGTAAAGATATCAAAATATGGATGTAACAAAATACTTGTACTGTTTTACACTTTTCACAAACTTAAATATTTGAGAAAATCAAACAATGATTGATTTAAAATTATTGTACCAAATGTGTGTTAGAATAAAACCCTACAGTAGGATCTACAGTACATAATGATCCAATCATAATAGATTCGCAAAGTGGACATCTGGCAACAGTAAAACCTTAATAATCAGAACAGTTTCTGACATTAGGGACACTATGATATTCTGGGGGGGTGGAGACTTGGATTTTATCTAAAAACTTAAACTGTCCCTGAAAATGCTTGAAAAACTGTTTGCTTCAAAACAAACATGATTAAAAAAACACATTTAAACTCATAGTTTCAAGTAATAAAATATCTGTTTTGTAGATGTACCTGAATTAGATCCAGCCATACTAACTCCCAGGCCATCCTACCCCAAGAATATCAAATGGTTGGTCACTCAGCCACCAGCCCTAAGCCTGTGTCTAATGAAGCTTCTTTCAATCTCATGAGCTCAGCTCAAACGTTATAAAGAATGTTGCCCTGGACTTACCATCTCCATACTAATAAAGACCTGACAATCAGGTATCACTAAATATCAAATTACGTTGTTATTTCTGTCTTCGGCACTGATTATTTTATTTCACTTAGCAAAAGACAACATCAGGTAATTTGAGCGTCTATTGTCTGCACATGGTGCAGTTCATTTGTGCGGAGAGGGGAGGCAGGTGAGCTACACAGATCATTTCACAGAACAGTCACAATAATTACCGAACATGAACCAGGTTTCATTGGTGAAAAATAGAGTGAAACCCCTTTTTCTACACAGTTGCAGTGAAATCACCCGAATAACATATTTCTAGATTAATTAAACACACCTCATGTCCCTTTGTATAAATATAGACTTCGCAAATGATAAATATCCAAGCAGGCTTCTGGGTAACAGGATCTGGATTAATAGTGTCTGGATAAATGGGGGTCCAGGCTCAGAGGGTTTAACTGTTAACAATCTGTTTCACTGAACCATACAATCCTAGCAAATAATGACTATCCCTAGCAAATAATGACTATCGTCTCACTGATCTGACTCCTAAAAAATATATAAAAAAAGAACACCTTTCCAAGCAGTGTCAGTAAAACAACATATTCCTATCACTGATGACCTTTAACAAAGATGGCTGACACGTTCTAGACTTTGTATTTACACTATAGATCCAGTAAATTAAGGATTGCTCTTCAAACATGAAGTAACACATTTGTTGAGGTCCAGATCCAGTGACAGTTGTTTCCTGGCAACATATTCCTGCTTCTGGTGACGCCTCGGAACAAAATTGCACCTAACACTGTTTCCATATAATGAAGGACATTTAAACTTGGAAGCATTTCTGTTTCCGATTTCTGTATCCAATTACAAACATTGTGGTTAATAAAACTTCCCAAATTCTTGGACCTGGTACCCTCGCTTCTAAAAGATGACAATTGTTAGGGCCAGATGTCTGAATCTTACAAGCACAGCCGTTATAATTCAATAACAGGCACCAATATTCAAATTCTTGATGTGGTTCAGTTCCTGGTTCATACCAATAGATTTAAGGTTCCAAAGGTGAGAAACCTGTAAACAGATGTGAAGACAAGCACTCCCATCGTCCTCTGTGACATCTCTGTGAAGTGTTACCCTGTCAGACGAAGAAGACGCGAAGAGCCTGTACATGTAGCACCGATACAGCTGTGATATCCTTACATTGCAGTTGACCCTAGAACTATGTACACGACCTTGAACCCTGACACAGGTCAAGGTCAAGGTATATCTAAAGACAGCAGATCCTCAAATCTTCCCTGTTACCTCCCCTGAAAACGAATTTGAATGGTGATTAAAAAAAAACAAGCGATAATTTTACATGGGACTGTCCGAAAATTGCTCGAAAGTTGTCCTTCCGGCACTGTGTTCAAATGAGTGAGTGAGTGAGTTTGGTTTTACGCCGCTTTTAGCAATATTCCAGCAATATCACAGCGGGGGACACCAGAAATGGGCTTCACACATTGTACCCATGTCGGGAATCGAACCCGGGTCTTCGGCGTGACGAGCGGTGTTCAAATGAAATTTCCGTATATCCATTCAGCATAACATCCCACATACAAATCTAACATAAACGTTATTTAAAATCGATATTAAGGAGGAACTAATTCACTGAGCCAGGACGAACAAAACTGTCGTTAGCAAACCGTCTCCTCGTGCTTACCTTCGACATGCATGATATGGGGTGCCGCGAAACGGATCACTGGTTTCGAGGTACTCCAATTCTTCTTAACCAATCAGATCAGAGAACATGCCGACTTATATGTTACAAAGAGGAGATCAATATTTTGTTTCGTAAGATTTGCGTGATGTTATGCTGAATCGAGGTACCGAAATATCATTTGAACACAACGCCAAGGGAACAACAATCTTGTTAGTCATGATGCAACACAGCAGTATTCCAGCTATGTGATGGCAGCCTGCACATAATCAAGGTCATAGGTAATGTACAAAGCAAGGCTAACTCAGTAGATTACTTGAGTGAGTGAGTGAATATGGTTTTACTTAAAATGTTCGTAGACGTGCCTTGGACAAGTGGCAACGTTCTCACGTAATGTTGGAGAGACAGACAATATGAGTGAATGAGAGAGTTGGGTTTTACACAACTTTGAACATCAGGCTGGACTTCCGTTCTTTTTGGGGGGTTAAGGATGTTTGGCCCCAAAATTGAGGTGGGTAGGATAAAGTTAAAAAATCCAACTTCAAATATATTTCTTTGATTTCCACAAAATGGAAGTCCGGAAGTTTTCACAATAAATTTTCAATCGAATAGTTGAAAATTGATATATGCACACAGCAAATATCAGAAATATGTCCACCGATATATATATGTATCACCACTGGATTAATAATTTATGTATATTGATAGCAGTTGTAAATGAATTTTATTGAACATTTTCAATTTCTGAAGGTGACGGATTGAGTGAGTGGGTGGGTGGGTGGGTGAGTGAGTGAGTGAGTGGGTGAGTGAGTGAGTGAGTGAGTGAGTGAGTGAGTGAGTGAGTGAGTGAGAGTGAGTGGGTTGGTGAGTGGTTGAGTGAGTGAGTGGTTGAGTGAGTGAGTGGTTGAGTGAGTGGTTGAGTGAGTGGTTGAGTGAGTGGGTGGGTGGGTGGGTGGTCGGGTGGGTGGTCGGGTGGGTGGTCGGGTGAGTGAGTGAGTGAGTGGGTTGGTGGGTGGGTGGGTGAGCGAGCGAGCGAGGTTTTACGCCTCATGGCGGGGGCAATATCACGGCGGGGTACACCAGAACGGTCTTCACAGGTTGCCCATGTCGGATTAGAACCTGGGTCATCGGCTTGACAAGCCAAGGCTTTAAACCACAAGGCCACCCCACCCCACCGCCCCCAGGGAGGGGATGGAAGTCTACTGATTAACTCAGGGCCTCCTGTAATAACAACGTACATTATGTAGGGTTCCGCGGAGGTAGGTCGACAACAGACAGCTTCAGCTGGCCGGGAGACAGTGCATCATAGTCGCCTCCCTTTGATGACATCTGGTTTTGAATGGAATCAATCTGAAAATGTGTAATTTATAAATACATGTAGAAAAATATGTTTTAACTTGCTCTGGGGATAAATTTAGGTTACAATATCATATAGTGTTCAAAATGAAGGGTGCTGAAATCTTTGAGGTCTTCTATGATATTTGAATCTAGCATTGTCTAGAGTCCCCTCTAATCTTTAAGACAAGGTTATACCAAGGGCCCCTTGAGTTTCATGCTTAATTTCAAACACTGCGGGTTCAGGATCGAACAACCGATCTTCTGTTCTCCAGACGCTCTACCACTCGCTGAAATGGGGTTTAACGTAGAGTCCAAGACTGCACTTATATAGCGACATGCATGTGTGTGTGTGGCTGCTGGTACTAGTCCGGTCTAATGCATCTTTCATAGTGCTAGCCCACTCAGATACCTTGCCTCAGTTTTAACATAAATACACAGACCAGCCGACCAGTCCTTTAAGCCCCATAATGCCGAGCGCCAGGAAGGGTAAAAACAAGAACCATCTTTAAACGTCTTTGGTATGACACAGCCTGGAAATGAACCCCGGATCTTCCACTCTCCAGGTGGACCACCAGGGCGGTTCACTAGATGACAGACGCAGTTACGAAAGTGACACAGGTATTATGGGTATGTTGCTGACAAACCTGATCCTGGCACAGGTAAGAAACATAACTCTGTACAGCATATTGGGGCAATTTACACCATCGGTCATGATCCATTAATCCTTGAAGAAAAAGTGGTACTATTTACCTGAGCACTGCTGTTCACTTCGCCCGACCCTATGTGTGTCGTGTGACGGAAATCTGTCGGTAAGCCGATCATGCTGGGGTCGATCCTTCTGCGAGGCCGAGTCTGAAAATACAATTTATTTTTTCTTATTTCTTCATGCAGGGTCTTGTAACCATGTAAACAAATTCCAGTTTTAAGAAAAACTCCAAAACAACATTTGACATGGCAAGGGGAAGTAACTCTTCAACTTTCCTCCAAAACCAAATGCACCACGTTTATCGCTCCACCAATATTTTCAAGCAATCACTTCATGAGCACTGTAACCACCAATTTCCTGCTAATCAAGAAATGCAAAAAGCAATGTTTTGAAACAAATTTAATGTAATTCATACCATGGCCTTCATGTAACTTTGAAAAGTATTTCGGTAATAATCTTGGGCGAAGCTCCAAGTGATGCAGAGTGAAACACACACCATCTTCCCAAGGCAAGGGAGTTAACTGACGATGAAAGTCCAGTTTAAACCCTTGCCAAACTAGGTTGGAGTCTATACATAGTCCAAGAAAATCGCTGAATGAAATCGACATTTGGTTCATAATCAATATGATTGCAGGATTGTCTACTGTCAACTGGGCATCAACAAATGTTTTCCAAATCTTTTCATGTTTTTAATCAAGGTGCTCAAGTGATTGGATGTACTTCGCGGGGTAAGACCCATTTTATTACAAAAAAGACAAAAGATTTTCTTGACTAGGCACAGACATTTTGTTTGAATCAAATGCAAGTGATATGAGTGGTGGAATCTGATTGGTCAATAGGAGGGACAGAGAACCTTTCATAGCCACTGGTGGTGCTACGCTTGAACCATGAAATTGCATCCCATTTCGGCAAGGGTTTAATTTAAACTTGACTTTACAGTCAGTTATCTCCCTTGCCTCAGGAAGCTGAATGCACACACGCTAGTACCGTGCTGACAAACCAAGGATTATTATCATGATAATAAGGATGAGCCTGGGACCCAGTGTTCATTTCACCTGCACATTTACACATAACTTCCTAATGGTGCAAAATATAAAAATCACCGCACCCAAAGGGTAAAACATAACAACCCAAAACTAAAACACATTTCCGATTCTAACCCTCAGCTACCGACAATAATTCAAGACTATGTTTTACTATTTGTTTGTTGTTTAACGTAGCACTCAGCAAATATTCCAGCTATATGATGGCGGTCTGTAATTAATCGAGACCAGACAATTGACATCATGAGTATCGATCCATGCAATTGGGATCGATGACATGCATCAACCATGTCAGCAAGCTTGACAACCCGATCCCATTAGTCTTATGACAAGCTTAGTCGCCTTTTACGGCAAATTGATGTTTGTTGGTTTTCAAGTTAAATCATTCTGAGAAAGGGCAACTAATGCACTGTGTGTAGTTGTTTTCTTGACCATGACTGTTGAAAGAACTGAAGAATGTGTAATTATTTAACACTGATGGATAGAATGAACTGTCTTTGAAAAGTGAATAAATAAAATGTGAAAAGTGAAAAGGTATCAATGTGAATACAAAAAGTAACACTGACAAGTTGAATTCACGATGAATGACGAAAAGGTAATATTCTTTAATTTTTATGTCTGTATTTCAAAATATGCGTCCCCTGGTTTCATCAGATGTCCCTCAATTCTTAGAAAGATAGGGGTCACGGGGACCCACTTTTCCAGTTTCTGACATGAGGTGCGGTGAAATGGGGTTTCACGTCGCGTCCAAGATTATTGCACTTATATCATGTATAAAGCGACGTGCATGTACGTGTGTGTGTTTGTGTGGCTGCTTGTACTAGTCCGGACTGATGCCGATTTATAATGCTAGCTCACTGAGATACCATGCCGCAGTTTAACATGTCCTTGTTTAAGCCCCTTAATGCCGAGCGCCAGACAGGTTAACAACAAGTACCATCTTTTAACGTCTTTTGGCATGACGCGGCTTGGGATCGAACCCCGGACCTTCAACTCTCTGGGCGGACGCTCTACCACTAGACCACGGAGGCGGTCCGTTTCTGACATAAACATTGCAACCCCTCAAATTCAGGCACAACGACGGACAGAGGGAATTCTGCTCAGGCAAGTGCAGTCCTATAATTCATGGGTTTTTTTCCATGACAACATGACACACACCACGCCCTTCCACCCAATCAGGAACAGTTTGAGGCATATTTCACGCAGTGGACAAAAGGGAAGGGAGATAACTCTACTGTTACCCACATGAACAGATTATACACAAGTTGTTTTCTTGAAATTTTAAACCAAATTTCTAGTTTGCATTTTTGAAACTCTGAAAAGATAATTTAGAATGTATTTGAGATGGGGCGGTCGGGTAGCCTAGTGGTTAAAGCGTTCGCTCGTCATGCCGAAGACCTGGGTTCGATTCCTGACATGGGTACAATGTGTGAAGCCCATATCTGGTGTCCCCCGCCGTGATATTGCTGGAATATTGCTAAAAGCGGCGTGAAATGAAACTCACTCACTCACTTACGTATTTGAGATGGGAATTGGTGAGAAAATTCAAGGCCTTTTCAAATAATAATGCAGAATCTAAATTCAAGAATTTCTTAAACTGTGCAAACCCTGTTTTGAGAAGTTTGGTCAACACAAGACACTGACTCAGTGTAAGTGATGCGGGGCTACACAACATGGTGTTTGATACCTCCAGCAGCAGCAGTTGGTGCCACCCAGATCAGAATCCCCTCTGTATCAGTGCCCCACACCCAGATGAAAACATTTACATGACTGTACATTTGCAATGTCTATCCCAGCAGCAGCTTACACAGGCTGTATTTGTGAAAATCATATCATTCCGTGAAATTAGGGTACAAAATCATCACACCTTTCTCTTCTGAATTCAAAGGTTGAGATAAGGCAAAGATTCATCTCATCGGGTATCTGGTATTGTAAACACGGAATACTAGATGTCAGGTGAAATGGGTTTTAACACTGCATCCAAGATTATTGCACTTATATAGTAACGTGCATGCACATGTGTGGATGCTTGTACTAGTCCAGACTGATGCCGATTTTATAGTGCTAGCCCACTGGAATACCATGCCGCAGTTTAACATGAAAACCCCACTCAGACACAGTATACTGACTCCGAGCTGACCAGTCCTTGTTTTAGCCCCTAAATGACAAGCTCCAGGCAGGGTAACAACAATTACCATCTTTTAAAGTCAGGGATCGAACCGGCGTGTCAGCTAAATGTGTGAGGAAAGCCTGAAGTGTGGGGTCTCAGATGTTTACCACTTCGGTGAAACAAAGTGAGTGAGTGAGTGAGTGAGTGAGTGAGTGAGTGAGTGAGTGAGTGAGTGAGTGAGTGAGTGAGTTTTACATCTCTTTATGAAATATTCAAGCAAAAGCATTGAACTTCACTTGTTAAGTTCTAGGGGTCACGGGTGGCCCAGTCGTCTAAGGTGCCGCGATTCGCTGTGCAGAGTTGCATCCCCTGGACACGCCAGAATTTGGGACTGGTGCGAATTTCTAGCGCTGGAACTTTGTTAAACATATGATTGTGGGTTCGAATCCCAGTTCACCCTGATTATATGTTTCTAGGTTTGTCAGCACCATACCCGTGCTCGTGGGTTTCACCAAAGTAGTAAACGTCTGAGACCTGCATCACTTCGGGCTTTCGTCCCACATTAATCTGACACGCCGAGATATAGCTGGAATAATGTTAAAAGCGGCGTTAAACCCAACTGACTCACTCACTTGTTAAGTTCATGTTGGGAGTCAAACCAGATCCTCAAGCCTCATGAGCTGACACTTTAGTTTAACCACCAGACTCCCCCACCATCACCCTTAGTTGTAAGGTAGTAACACAATGTGAACAGTTTTTTTCAATCTTATTTGAATTTGTGTTTTACAAAAAGACTGTGCAGTGATAAACACGATGTGGGACAAACTGAGTCTAGTTTGGGTCCCTTGTCTTTTTGACGATAAGCAGTCAAATTGTAAAAAATGCACCGTATAAAACGAATAAAAAAATAAGCAGTGTAATTTGAAATATTATTTGGATGATTTAGCGGCATTGTTCTATGTTAAACTTCAATAATGCAACTTAGACCAATCTTGGGTATATGCCAGTAATGTTCAAGATGTTCAAGATCATTATCAGATAATGGCTAGTATTATCTGCAGTGTTGTAAACCAATAAACTTGGTATATATCAATCTGACAACTATGTAAATGAAGTCTACAAGAACTCCTCCCAACTCCATACATCGATACAATGGCTTCTTTCTCAATAAACTACTGGCTAATATTACCAATGTGTTTGATTTGTTTGTTTGTTTGTTTGTTTGTTGTTTAACGCTGCACTGAGGAATATTCCAGCTATATGACGGCGGTCTGTAAAATAATCAAGTCTGGACCAGACAATCCAGTGATTGACATCATGAGCTTCGATCCACGCAATTGGGATCGATGACATGCATCCTAAGTCAGCGAGCATGACCACCCGATCCCCTTAGTCGCCTTTTACGACAGGCATAGTCGCCTTTTACGGCAAGTATGGGTTACTGAAGACCTATTCTAACCCGGAATCTTCACGATACAATGGCTTCTTTCTCAATAAACTACTGGCTAATATTGCCAATGTGTTTGTTTAGGAGTCTCCCAGAGTCACTGTGTTTCTGTAGACAAACATGGCTACAAGGCATTTGGTTCTATGTGATAAACTGGGCACTTCACTCAAACATTGTATTCATACATGATTTCTAAAGTTAATTCACTGTGTGAAATTACATCTCAAACATTAATTCTTTTAAGATGATAAACAGTTTATTAACCTCATTTTTTGCATACCGGAAATCATAAATCATATTCCTATTATATGATATTTGCAATACAGAAACACAACCAGCTAATAAAACCACTACTGCTACAATGGGTCCCCATGTTACTATGGTTACCAAACCCCATGCCAACTGTTACGATGGATTACAAATTGATGATACAGATATGATATATGTTACACCAAGCCATAAATCAACTCATGTTAATCTCAATTTTCAAATAAATATTATCAACATTTGCCATGACCAGGGTTGATATCCGCTCAGACTAGAATGACCTACCCCTACCACTTATCAAAATTCTAAATCCAATTGCAAAATAACAACAGAGTGATTCTAAATTAAGCAAACATGCAATTTCAAAACGTACTGGGAGATAATAACAAAGACTTTAAGCCATGGCTCATGCATTGAGAAACGATGCAAATTAAGTATTGCAATATACCCGATATCCATCATATTGTGTCTCAAGTACTGATATGTATCAATACGTAAGGAAACAGTGTTCGAATTAGAAATAATTTTAAAACCCAACAAGACAGTCGTCGGGCAGGTGACCCATAAGTGTTGCCTGCACATCTTCAAAGTTACCTGCCCGCATTCAGGCAGCATAAATATGGAGGTAAGGTGAGGTGAAATGGGGTTTAACGTCGCGTCCAAGATTATTGCACTTATATAGCGACGTGCATGTACGTGTATGGGTAGTGTGGCTGCTTGTACTAGTCTGGACTGATGCTGGTTAATAGTGCTATCCCACTGAGATACCATGCCGCAGTTTAACATGACTACCCACCCAGACACAGTATACTGACTCCGAGCCGACCAGTCCTTGTTTTAGCCCCTTAATGCCAAGCGCCAGACAGGGTAACAACAAGTGCCATCTTTTAACGTCTTTTGGTATGACGCAGCCGGGGATCGAACCCCGGATCATCCGCTCTCCGGGCGGACGTTCTACCACTAGACCACAGAGGCGGTCATAAATATTGAAAAATCACCAAAATTAGAGACAAACCATGTCTTCATTCAGTAGAAATAATGCCAACAATTACAGGAACTTGAAAATCTGAAAGGAGTTACAACAAAACTGAATATAAAAATAGTCCTAAAATTATCTGCCAGATAGTCGGGCAGGTAGAAGAAAATTTCATGCAGCCCGACAGAAAAGTTGCCAGACACGGGCAGGCTGGGAGGCAGTTATTTCAGACACTGTATGGAAAGTGTATCCTGACTCCCATTTTTTCATTCCAGTGTTGCTATGAGCATTGGGACAAGCCCACATTTACTTCCCATGTACCCTCTGTAAGCCGGGTAGCCTAGTGGTTCAAGCGTTTGCTCCTCACGCTGAAGGCCTGGGTTCGATTCCCGACACGGATACAAGGAGTGAAGCCCATTTTCTGGTGTCCCCCGTTGTGATATAGCTGGAATATTGCTAAAAGCAGCGTAAAAACCATACTCACTCACTCACTCACTCACCCACTATAAGCCTCAAGACTTGGGCACAGAATGTCCGAGTGAGAAATGTTCAAATACACGTATAAATCAATGTGATCATGCATCCACTGAAGTTGATTGAAGTTTTATCTTTACTCAAACAGTCAGAAGGAATGTGTGCATAGTCAGAAAGAAATGCGAACATCAATTAACGACTTAGCGATTATTGGTGTAACCATGGTAACCATTAGGTTATTGTTATTGTCATTAAACAGCATATCACGTGACTAACTATGGGTCTAGGTAGCCCTGTGGGTACCTGGGTTGCTTGAGGACCCACCCGAGTTACCAGAGTTACCCGGCCAAGTCTGAGTTGCTGCCATGACATATGGAAGGGTAGGTTTTGTCTAAAAATACCAACAATAAACTGAAAATTTACAATTAGCGTGACAACCGCCAACGTAACATGTTGAACTCTTGAATTTTGCGATGTTTTCACTTAAAAACAAACAGGAAGGAAGTGAGGTTTTCCTGCCTCGCTCTTGGGCATGAGGCATGGCAAGCAAGATATTATTACTTGCACAACTACTTGAGGATAATTCATGGTGAAGAGGACTTCAGTTGAAAATCTGAAAACTTTTAGTATGATGACAGCCAAGCTACGGGAATTATGGCAATGATGTAATAAAGGTATTCGCAACAATTATATATAACATGGTAAATGTAATTTGGAAGCATTCCGAGCCACCATCTCTTTGCCAATATCAACAACGAACGCTCACTCAGCCACTCAATGGCTAATGTTACTATGGAAATTTACATGTGCTACCATGGTTACATACCGTTTGCGGCTGTTCTGTGATGCAGCAGCTAAAGCAGAGCAGAGCGTCGCCCATCATCGGGGGAATGTGTGACCCGCCTATTTTCAGAGATGGTGCAGGCTGGGCAGGTGGCTGTGTTCCAGGAGTCGGTCACTCCGGTCACCCTCAGGGCTCCTGTTCCCTGGACGGTGCTGGTGCAGAGGGTCTGCTGAAAAAAAAAAAAATGAATTATTGTTTGTTGTTTTTATTATGTCCAAGCCTCAGAATTCAAGTTGTAGCTAGTAGCTAGTGAGTTTGTATTAATGACAATATTAGCAATATTCCAGCAACATTCCAGCAACATTCCAGCAATATCCAAACAGGGGGGGACTCCAGAAATGAACCACACACATTGCACCTCTTTGGGGATTTGAACCCTGGCCTTTACATGCTTAAGCGTGATGAGAAAACACTTGAACAACTAGGCTACCCTCCCCTCCTCCAGTTGTATTTCTGCGGGGTGGGGGGGAGACACCCAAGAATTGTTTGTTTGTTTGTTTGGTGTTGAACACCACTCTCAGGAATATTCCAGGTGTATGATGGCAGTCTGTAAATAATAAAATATGGACCTGACAATCCAGTGATTGATATAATGAGCATCGATCCATGCAATTGGGATAAGATGAGATGCATCAACCAAGTCAGCGAGTCTGACCACCCAATCCCCTGAGTTGCCTCTTGCAACAAGCATAGTCGCCTTTTACGGCAGGCATGGGTTGCTGAAGAACTATTCTACCCGGATTTTCACAGGTCGATTAACGATAGTAATATCTTTAAGTTCTTTTGACTTCAAAGTGTCCTTTCACAGTTTCATGTATTTTAACCATACAGTAAGGAGATATACATACCGTATTCGACGTAATAAACACCCCGCTCTAATAAGCGCCCACAGCAATATTTGCTAAGATATTGGCTAGTGAACAATCCCAGTTAGCACCCCTTCCGATTAATCAATGTACACAAGACCTATTTATTCGTGTTTAATACGCACTCGTGTGTTATATGCACTCTTAATTATGGGCACTTTAATTCTGGAAAAATATATCTGTCGTACATAAACATTTCAGGCTATCAGCATAAACCACGAAATTTATCTTCCAACTCTTCAACTTTTTTTTCCACCAAAATAATATTCTAATAAAGAGCCCCCTATTTCTAATTTTGAGAGCGCCCTGGGCGCTTATTACGTCGAATATCGTACTCTGTTTTCAATGTAGAGCTAGGTTACCTGTAGATTAAACTGCTCTAAATTGAATTTGGAACCGAACGCACAGCTTTCATTATTATGAAGCAATGGCAACTCAATTTCAAATTTACAATTTGAAATATTACACCATATCCCATGCCTTGCCGACGTATAACCTGATTTCAAGGTAGGGCTGATACTACATTATTATCAGGAGGATAATCATTACATTGTCAGCTGAGAATAATTTCCTTGAGTCGAATCTCATGGATTAAACACAGCTCACATGCTACAAGTGCCTGACATTTTTGTTCAATGCAATTCTGATATTATTTCCTTATTGGCTTAAAAGCAGTCCATCCATTTATTCAGGCAACTAGCACATTGTTTTACAACACTTGAGTCACCGAATATGACAAATTTGCCGCCCAAACAAAATGCTGCCCAGTCAAGACAATCTGATAGATAATCAAAATCTATATTGTTAAAAATAAGGGTCTTACTTTGCAAAGTGAATCAAATAACGTGAGCACCTTGATTAAAAACATGAAAAGTTTTGGAAAATATTTGTTGACGCAGTGTTGACAGTACACATGCATTGCAAATCCTTCAATTGACTGCAATTAATCTGCACTGCAGTTTACGACCCGGATGTTGATTTCATTACGCAGTTTTGATTGGACTAGGCATAGACTCATAAGTCCAACCAAAATATAACTCCATAATTCCAGCCTAGTTCGGCAAGGGTGGAAACTGGACTTTTATAGTCAGTTAACTCCCTTGCCTCAGGAATATGCCAAGTGTGTAGCGAGACGTGTGTTTTTCGGCATTATTCCCAGCAGTATTGTTCCTGTAAATAAAGATCTGAAAAGAAATACAGGTAATTCTTTCTTGCTTATTTGAATTTCAAGAGGCCACGTAGCAAGATACTACTTTCCTGCACACCTGATTATGGATTGTTGACAGTGAAGAGGACTTCTGTTGAAAATTTGAAGATTTTATAGTGTGATGACAGTCAAATTTGATTCAAGGCTTTGATGTAATAGAGGTAGGGTATTCACAAGAACTGGTTTTTATTTTTTTCTAAATCCATGCTTATTTGCATAAACATGAAATGGTAAAGGAGACCTATTTGGAATATTTTATATGCAGCTTTCTAGAGCTCTGGCAAGGTCAATACCTAAATTACTGGAGATGGGGACAACCTTGGGGGTACAAACTTGTGGGACAAACTTCGTAAAACATCCATGATGACTGGTGGAATTTGTTGCTATTGTAATAATCAGGTTCAGGGTTTCTCTCTATGGTTTCTTTGAAACAAAATCCTCATAAGGCTACAAAATGCAAAATTTATTGTCATGAACATGATGAATAAGTACTCAACAACTGCCACGAACATAGATGTTAAAACTCACTAAACCACAGTGCAAACGGTTGTATGCGACAATAGTGTGCAGCAATTAACAAAGAAGACCCATTAAGTGCTATTCCTTCCTCCTCCCCACTGAATTACGGCCATAATGCATGACATTAGAATGTCACAGACACATAGTCAACAACCTGCATACCTCATTCTCATATGGCTTAAAATGAGGGACCGTCTCATAACACATTTATCACATATATAACAGGCCTCAAAGTTTAAATTTTTACCAAGTAGCCATATGGCTAAAAGAATATTTTTTCCAGGTGGAAAAATCAAGAAGTCAAGCCAATATTGTAGGTAGCCAAAGGCATTTGAAATTATTTTTTTATGAAATAACTATTAGATGTAAAAGTCATCTTGGAATTGTATATTAGTGGTAACTGTACTTGAGTTTGGTTATTTGTGACTCGAACAATGATGCAATTTATGTTTCTAGATTATATAGGTATATCCTTGCTTGTCCAATAAACTATCAACTAAAATAAAAAACTACTTACATTTATATTTATGCATTTTGGTTCAATGTTGACTTTAGGAGGAATTATTTGCAAGTACAATTAGTAGCAGACATTTTATTTTTGTGTCTACATATGTGTAGCAGTAGAATTAAGTCGCCACAAGATATTTTCAAGGTAGTCATTTGGCTACCTCTGAATTTTAGAGAGAAGACCAATTGAAATTTCGCAAATTTGAGGCCTGACATATGGCCTGAACCATTCATCAGTGAGGTGAGGTTTAACGTGTATTCAAGATCATTGCACTTACATACCTCTGTGTGTGTGTGTGTGTGTGTGTGTGTGTGTGTGTGTGTGTGTGTGTGTGTGTGTGTGTGTGTGTGTGTGTGTGTGTGTGTGTGTGTGTGTGTGTGTGTGTGTGTGTGTGTGTGGAGCATATGGAGTGTGTGTGTTGGTGTTTGGAGCATATGGAGTGTGTGTTGTGAGAGAGAGAGAGAGTTGGGTGTTATTGTCTGTGTGGGGGGTGTGTGTGTGCATGTGGTCTGTGTGTGTTGTGTGCACGTGATGTGCATGTGATATGTGTGGTGTGTGCATGTGGTCTGTGTTTGGTGTGTGCATGTGGTGTGCATGTGGTGTGTGTGTGTGTTAAGCATGTGGTGTATGGGGTGGGCATGTTCATGTGTGTGTGTATGCAGGAATACAAGCTGTACAAGATGGAAGTAAAAGAATTCAAACAGTGGAAGAGAAAACCGACAGCGACAGAAAATATGAAAAATGACCAGTAGATTTTTAAAGACTGATTTCTGACATGACTGTGATGTATTGTAGCGTTTGTCATGTGTGTACTAACATTGTTGAAACTGGAAATAAATTTCCTCTCTTCCCTACCAAATATCGTATTTTCAGTGTTTGGCAGGGTTAAAAATGGCTATTTGACTCTGAAATTGGGGAGTAAAAAACACTGAGCTGACCCAACTGGCTAGTGCTGGTGAAAAACTAGGTCACACACTGATAATAAATGTAAAATTGCTTTATGACTTGGTCCCCTTCTTGAGAATAATAGTCAATCATAAACATGACTTCTGGGGAGAAATCTAAAGAGTTTCTCGCATGGAGACTGACGGATTTGTGGCAACGATGTAATAGTGGGTTATGTAGACATGGTATACGTGAGAATTAATCTTAATACAAGGCATAACCAACACATGTTGTGAAACATAACGATGGAGAGGACAAGACACGTTTAACATGTTCAAGTGTCACATGCCAGAAATGAACATGAAGAAATTGCAGATTTGCTCCATGAGATGGCCCCCCTGCCACTGTGGGCCCACTCAGTGACAAGTTAGCAACTAGGTAACTTCCTGTTTTCAACATGGTTGATTGTCCACTTACATCCCAGTCTCATCCCTCACTATAACACTAATGACATCCTGACAACATCCCCCTCATTATAACACTCTACATGTAAAAACTGTCACATGTTATTTTTTGCACATATTACGTTATAATGTATACTGCTCTTGTGAATTTGAAATGTATTTGTTTTAGATTCTTCAAGTTCAAGAGTCTGATCCACATCGACATACTTGGTTCAAACAGTTTTCCAGTAACCTGTTTGTCTAGTAGGTCGACTACAATGCGTCAAGTGGTCAGGTTCGGTGACTGGGCCGGCTACATGTCATCGTACCTCAATGTATCAGACGTTGTTCATACCTTCTGACCACGGTTTGTCTCAAGGGTCCCGCCTCAGTTGGTTACTTGTCGCTTTGATATATCATGAATATGCTTACTGGCATTTAACAACATTGAGACAATCGCCCATTGCCGTTAACATTTTGGTTCTTGATTCATGTTAAATGTGGATTACATGTGTACCTAATGGAACTGTTTGAACCTAGTCCTGCTTGAAAGAACCACAAATGTTTACAATGTTTACATTTTCTGTCAGCTTTTTTCAGTTCCAATTTGTAGCAAAACTGAAGCATAGAGAACTGGTTCAGAATTATAGCCGTCAAGTTACTAGTTGATGAGGACTAGCATCAGTGGATGTATATTTGTCACCAGCACAATTAAGTGGCTGGTCAGCATGAGTTTCAAAG